TACCAAAACCTTGCCATGCAAACCCAACAGACATCCTGCAACTGTTGTCAGTAATGTTGGATGCTATGTGGAGGCACAGTACGCCAGAACAATTTCATACTAAGAGCATAACTACTTTAAGCAGAATTCAGAAGCTGTATATGGGCAGGACCCCCAATTCATTATATCAAACTGTAAACATGTCCATCTCTGTCAGGCAGGGCAGCTACTCTGGTGAATGCGAGAGGGGCAGAAGTTGGCAAGAATGTATTTATATTAGTATTTAACAATCAGAAGCAAAACATTTGAAATTATATGATTTTCTACACAAACATCAATTGCTGATTAGATTTGAAACCAGAGAATTATTTCAAATCTTAGAATTTGCAGAAAGCAAAAGTGTGGCATCAGTCTGTCTAGAAACTTACTCTGCAACACTGCTGCAAACTCAGTGTAGTTTAGGTTAGATGAATATAAAACAGTCTCTGTTCAGTTAGCTGGACTCTGGACATATACATATAGAAGTTGGCTTAAATATATTTTCAGAACATTCACAAGAAAAGTTGTGCAGTGATGAAAGCAGCATGCATATCAAATTTTAAGTTAAATCAGTGTAATTTTATAAACAAAACCATCTCACTATAGAAAAAAAAAATAAGGGACAATTAAGATGGTCTTTGTCTCTTCAGTGCCTAATGTTTTTTGGTATTGAGGACAGAAAAGCGGACTAGCTTCTGTGCATCGATTTTACAGGCAAGAAATACACCCTGAAGTTGTTTAATCCTGTCTTTTTTCCCTTTCTCTGGGAAGCTTTTCTGCTACCTGTGACAACTACTGGTGTTTCACAGAAAGACATCAGGGTAACAGCAGCACTCATTCAGGCTCCAAGAGAGCTCTCACATCTTGCTGTCCAAACAGCAATACCCTTAGCTATGGACCTAAAGGGAAAAAAAGCCTTCCAACTTAGCAGTAGGATTAATGTTTATCCCTTACTCCTAAAGCTGGCTGGCGGCAATTAGACATGAGATTCTCACACACTCATCAAAAGATACTGCTACCTTTATTATATATATACCCTAGTCCTCTGTGATTCAGTGACCTACAGAAAATGGTCTGGATGTTTGTGTGAAAATTAGCACGAGCAAAAAATTTACCTTTTTTTTTTTTCCTCCTGTGCAGATAATGAAAAATTTACCAGCTTTACCTTTGTCTTTACCTTTTTAATCCACTGACCACATCCCAAGCACCTAAATGACCAGTATTCTTGGTCACAGGACTTCATCTTTGTGGAATTATTTCAAGCAATCTGTGCTTGTGGTGGGCACACAATTCCTCTGGCTGAATTGTCATCTAGGAAAAATCTCCTTAGGCAGATATCATGGTCACTGCAATAGATTATTGAAAAGATTTTTAAACTCTTTAAATCTTATTGATCATTATATCAGACTGGTCTTCTCTAGAGTCCACCCAGATAGCCAGCACCTCTGCTGCTTGGCTGCCCAAAACCTATGGCTGACAACTGAGAACCATTTAGGCCTGCTGCTCACTTGCATAAGCACATACGTAGATGTCTGTTCGCTTCCACTGGTGTGTGCTGCTTCACGTTTGACCTAGGGCTATGTTGCGTAAGCATGGGAGGCTGCTGAAGAGAGGAAACATGCTACTGAATGCTGCAAAAAACCATTGCTGAGACGAAATTTTCCTTTCAGATCACTCTTTTAAAAAGCAAGCAAATACTCTTGGCCATCAGCCAGGACAAAAATAAGGTATGTAACCCATTCTTTGTGTGGACTCCAGTGCATTTTTCTTGGGGGTGTGGAAAACGGAAGGGCAAGTGCTTTCTAACTCTCCATGGGAGAGTTGTTACTCTAACTTCTTTCCTGGCTTGTGTACATCAAAAAGGAGACAGCCTTAGTCTTCCTCTTCAGCTGTACTTCAGGCCCTGCTTACTGACAGCCTCTGTGGATGCCCTAAGGTGTACACAGCTGTGCTGAGATGGACAGGCACTACTACAACATCCACTGTTGGGTACTGTCAGTTCCCATCCTTTTTTGCTGTGCTAGTGAAGGTTTCTAGGTGATTTAAAACCAAGTTAACAAAGCTGAGTTTTAAAAAAAAGTTAGTACAATAGTGTAGGTCAGTTCCAGATGACTCAAAGCATGTGCATTGGCCTTCCCTGCTCCAGATGCACACTTCCTGAGGAGGCTGAGACCAGAGCTAGAGTATTTACATTCTGTATGTACTCACTTGCTGCCTTTAGATCCAGGTAGAATATCCCACCCTGCGTTGTAAAAGTTCTTTCCATTGCTCAGAAACATATGCTGCTTAGGACTTTCCATCCCAAAAGCATTTGCTGCATTTCCCCTCCTCCCTTTACCTCTCACCCCTTCTGACACCAACGCAGTAGAAGGAAACAAAATCTCACATGCTGAGCTCTGGTTCTCTAAACTTCATTGCTCCAGTTTTCAATAAGAAATGAAGCATTTACACATCCCTTCATCTCTGTGCACAGGCACATAACTGAATGGTCTGACCGTCATTTTGTGGAAAGATTATTCTTCCCAAAAGGTTTTAGGTGCTAATGTACAATAGTGAAGGGATGTATAAAATGCTACATGGAGGGATTCTGTTAAATTAAAAATCTTTGCTGTCCTCATGAGAACAGTAAGAGGCATTACTTACTGCCAGCATCCTCCCCCTGCTCATGGAGGGCCAAGATTTGGGGGAAAAGAGAGTAACTTACACAGAAAAAAAATGAGGGAGCAAAGAGTTTACAAAGTCTTCCTTGTCACCAAGCCAGGGCAGAGGCGGAGTGTAACAACTGTTGAGAGACTGTTAGAGACTTCTTTAACTTACAAGAATGTGGAAAAGCAGATAAATGTAAAAGCAAAGGTGGCTAGAAATATTTCACCATTTTCTTATTTTCCAATAATAAAAATAAAGCTACATTTTTAAATTAAAAAATGTTTTCTACTTCTTTCACTCTAAACATTTTGAGATTTACTTGTGGTAAGTTGATACACATGTCTATTAAATTTTGACTTCCAAAGTACTTTCTGTTTGCCACTGCTTTTGGTGATGCTGTGATTTTGCCGGAACTTTAAAAACCAGCCATAGCATTTGGGCAAATACAAGGAATGGAAATATAAACATCTGAAATATAAATGTAATTTAAAGCTATTGGTGCTAAACATCTTACATTATGGTCTCCACAAGAACCATTAACAACAGTTAACAAATAATAAAAGGGAAACTTGGTGGTTTGTTTCATGGTTCAAGCAAAGAGAAAAGTAAAAAGTAAACAAGATGCTGAATGATCTGCTGTATGTTTAGTTGTGTCTTTTTTAATAACCTACAACATTTTGTAGTCACAAAGACAAACATTATATAGTTTACTGTTTATAATGTCCCCTTTTAACAGTGCTAGATCAAAAAAGAGGGTAGGACACACAACTATTTTCTAGTACTAGGAATTATTCTCCGTAGAGACAGTTAAAAATCTTTAAACAGAATTTCGATACTCACTGCCTGCAATTTGCTTTTCTTTGCAGCACATTCTAAATTCCTTAATGAGACAAAATGTGAATGAAAGTTGAATGCCAGGACTTCAGAATTTAGCACTCTATCCTATATATTATAATCTCTTGTACTTTCAAGAATCAGATCTTGTCCTATTTAGCAGATAGTCTCTAAAAAATGGCTAGCTCCTTTATTTGGTATTTGCAATGGCAATATAGTGGTTTCTACTGACGTACTTTTTTATTTCCCAGAAATCACTTTGTATGATGGCAACAAGCATAAGATGATTTCAGTTGATGTGCAATATTCTGCGTAGAATTTTGTACTTGTGCTTTAAAGAAACAGTGTGCTCAAATCATAATAATAATTAATGAGGTTTACCTCTTTTTAATTACTGGCTCAAAGCCCAACTTTTTCCCTCTCTGAAGTAGATTTACTTTGCAGCCATTAGTTGGCCATTGGGGGTTTGGTTCCACAATGATTTACACTTACCAATTTTTAAGCAGATTGTGCTGGAGGTCACAAAAATTCTTCCATTGGATTGTCATTTCAATTCAATATATGCTTTTTTTAAAAGGAGAGGCAGATGGTTGCAATCTTAGTTACAAGGGTTTTTTTAAACTACAGTGGATAAACAACCACTTTAGAGCTGATAATTTGCTCTGTTCTTTACAAATTACCTTCCTTGCTTTGAAGAGGTTTTTGATTCAGATAGAGAGACAGGCAGACAAATGGCATAATGCAAGGAAAATCCAGAGTGGGAATAAATTAATAAAGCCACATAAATTATGTTATGCACCTTTTTGTATAACTTAAGAATTTACAGTTCAGGAAATGTAGTTTTTCACAATACATGACATTTTGCAGCAGTTTCAGGCTACTGCGTTTTTTCTTTTCCTTCATCGTTAGCCTTCTTCCTGCCTATATTTTCAAAAGTATTTTACAACCCTTTCAAGAACAATTTCACATTGCAGGGTTAATCTGAGGCTCAAGGAGGCCCAAAAGAGGTCCTCCTTTAAAAAATTCATGGCTGTTAGGCGGTTCTATGTGACAGCAATCTAAACTCCAAATAGCGTGACTGCCCTCTCAAGGAGAGCACCCAGGGAAAGAACAGCATTGGCCTGCTCTGTTGAGATGACTGGATGAATGCACCTTACTTTGGTAATCCAAACTGTTTAAACCTCTTTGGATAACTGGTTTAAATCGCTTTGGATAACTGATTAAGGAATTAATCACCAGTATTATCAGTTCCATGACACAAATTAAATAGCTATGCCAAGGTTTTCACGCTTACCTAGTGGGGTTTTGGTGCTGCCCTTAAGGTAAAGGAGGGTTACTTTTCAGCTGGCGGGAGGTGCTCACCTGTCTTTGGGACCCAACTTCTGATCAGCCAGACTATCAGATGGTGCCTGTTAGACTTCAGAGAAAGGATAAATCCCAAATCACTAGCCAATTTTAGTGTGGCATTAGTCTTTTATTCTACAACTGTTAAAAACATGCTCTGCAACTTACTGCATAGATAGCCAACTACAGAAATCAATGCTTACTATTTTTCACTTTTTTCACATAGATTCATGATGTTACGTCAACAGCTAGTACTCATCTTTGGAATATCACTGACTAGTGATATAAGTGCATTTAGAAACTGTTATTCAGAAGCCCAAGTCTCCCTATATTATTTCTGCAACCTCACAGATATTCCACTTGTGCCAAAGGATACAGTGAAGCTTTTTTTAACTTTCAACTATATTAGAGAAGTGACTGCAACTTCCTTTCCACTGCTGGAGCACTTGTTGTTGTTGGAAATTGGAATGCAATATGTCTATCCTGTTACCATAGCAAAAGGAGCTTTCAGGAACCTGCCAAACCTTCGTGTCTTAGACTTGGGATCCAATAGGATTCTTCAACTGGATCTTGATGCTTTTGCGGGCTTGCCAAGTCTGACTGTACTCCGTCTGTTTCACAACTACCTTGGAGATTCCATCCTGGAGGAACGTTACCTTCAAGATTTGATCTCGTTAGAAGAATTGGATCTATCAGGGAACCAAATCACAAAACTTCAGCCTCATTCCTTATTTTATAATCTAACCATCTTGAAAAACGTGAATCTGAAATTCAACCAGATATCCAACCTGTGTGAAAGCAATCTTACCAGCTTCAGAGGAAAGCACTTTTTATTTTTTAGCCTCAGTTCTAATAATTTGTACAAGACAGATGAAATGGCCTGGGCCAAATGCCCAAATCCTTTCAGAAATATTACGTTTAACTCACTAGACCTTAGTGACAATGGCTGGAGCACAGGGAAAGTCCAATATTTCTGTGCAGCCATTAAAGGGACTCAAATCAGTTCTTTAACATTTAGCTCTCATACAATGGGTTCGGGATTTGGCTTTAATAACTTAAAAAATCCAGATAATGATACATTTGCTGGACTAGCAAGAAGTGATCTGCATTTGCTTGATATTTCAAATGGTTTCATTTTCTCTCTCAATTCTTTCATCTTTCAAAGCCTTGGTAATCTGGAATTCCTGAACCTTTTCAAAAATAAGATAAATCAAATCCAAAGGCATGCATTTTTTGGCTTGGGAAACCTAAAAAGTCTCAATCTCTCAAGTAATCTTTTAGGCGAGTTGTACGATGATACATTTGAAGGTCTACATAGTGTAATGTATATTGATTTACAGCAAAATCATATCAGGATGATTGGTGGAAAATCATTCAGTAACTTAGTAAGTCTGAAAATAATTGATCTCCGAGACAACGCCATTAAAAAACTCCCTTCCCTTCCACATCTGACCTCTGTCTTTTTAGGTGACAATAAACTAATGTCTGTAGTTGGCACAAAAATAGCAGCAACTCACCTTGAATTAGAAAGAAATTGGTTGTCAAACCTGGGTGACCTCTATATTCTTTTCCAAGTTCCAGATGTACAGTATATCTTCTTAAAACAGAATCGCTTCTCTTACTGTGTGAAAAGTGATCACGTTATAGAAAACAATCAGTTAATCTATATGGATCTAGGTGAAAATATGTTACAGCTTGTGTGGGAGAGAGATTTATGCTTGGATGTGTTCAGGGCACTGTCCAAACTTCAGGTTCTGCATCTGAATAACAACTACCTTAGTGTTCTTCCACAGGAGATTTTTAGAGGTCTAACATCCCTAAAACGACTTAATCTGGCTTCCAACCTATTGTCTCATCTTTCTCCTGGTCTTTTTCCACAAAGCCTAACAAACCTAAACTTATCTGGAAACCAGCTTCTTTCCCCCGAGCCTGAAGTCTTTATGACTTTGAGTATTCTGGATATAACACATAATAAGTATGTCTGTGATTGTACTTTAAAGAGCCTACTCATGTGGCTAAATGAAACCAATGTAACCCTAGCTGGCTCCCAATCTGACAGGTACTGTGTATACCCACCTGCATTTGCAGGGGTACAACTGTCATCTGTAATATATGATGGTTGCTATGAAGATGAACTCCAGCAGACACTCAGATTCTCAGTATTCATCTTCATCTCCATCACTCTTCTAATGGTTCTGATAGCAGCCATTGTTTTTACTCGCTGTCGGGGGATTTGTTTTGTCTGGTATAAAACTATTATCAAAAAAATTATAGACAGCCATCCACAAGTAGCAGATAAAAGTGAATACAGATATGATGCCTATTTGTGCTACAGCAAAAAGGACTTTGAATGGGTCCAGAATTCTTTGCTAAAGCACTTGGATTCACAGTATTTTGATAAAAACAGATTTACCTTGTGCTTTGAGGAAAGAGATTTCTTGCCTGGGAAAGAACATATCAGCAATATTCGTGATGCCATTTGGAACAGCAGGAAAACAATTTGCATTGTGACCAGGCAGTTTCTGAAAGATGGGTGGTGTGTGGAAGCCTTTAATTTTGCCCAGAGCAGGTACTTTTGTGATCTGAAAGATGTCCTCATTATGGTAGTGGTTGGGTCAATTTCTCAGTATCAACTGATGAAACACAAACCAATTCGAAACTTTTTACAAAGGGGTCACTATTTGCGGTGGCCAGAAGATTATCAAGATATTGACTGGTTTTTAAATAACCTTTCTTGCCAAATTCTGAAGGAAAAAAAAGTGCGAAGGAAAACCAGTGGTATAGAGCTGCAGACTGTAGCAACACTCTCGCATTGATGGCGTACGGGTTGCTGGCTTTCTAAATATCCCATTTCCAGCTGTGCCATGGTAGGAATAAACAGAAGTTTGCTTCCTTTTTCCTTGAAAAAGCAGGTAGATAGATAACTGTTTCAGTATAAATCCTACTAAAGATGGAAACAGCTTGAAAGCAACCAGCAGATATATGAAAGTACAATTATTTTATGGACTATCACACATTTTCAGAAGAATTAAATGAATCACAGATGCTTCACTTTTTGAATGCTCAGCTTCAGACACTTTAGTCCTCATTTCCGAAGTACTACTTATTTACAGGTCTGTTTCAGGTAGAGAAGGATGCCCATGGTTGTTTTTTAAAAAGAGCCCATGGTACCAAAGTGACCAAGTATGATTCCATGTATGGCCTAGCCTGCCCATCGGGTCATGGATTACTTGCTCCTGTGCTTTCTGAGCTCGGTAACTTGTCATGCTCTAACACAGATTTCATTTACTTGTTTTCTACTCAATTAGCCTCAGCTTCTCAACTGGAATGTACAAACTTTGAACTTCATTCATCCCCTTCCCCTCCACAACTTCTCTGCTTGGTGGTAAAACTACAGTCATCGGTCTACTTCATTTGCTGCTGTTTCAGCCTGCTGCTTTTTCAGTGGAGCTGCCTCCTGCCCCGCAGAGGGGATCCCCCTCAGATAGGAAGCAAGCCTGGGCTCGAAAAGCAAACGAGAAACTACCTCAGCAGCCGTGACATGGCCAATAGCCCAGTGACTGCCAGACAGCCTTACATTCTGGGAATGGAAAGTACAGACAATTGGTGCGTGATGTGAGTTGTTCTCTGTACATTCCGTGTCCTGATCAATTCTATCGTGCTTTTCTGCTTCTGTTGGAATATTTTTCTAGAGTCATTAATGCCGGGTACTCTCATACCTCTTTAATCATTTTGCCGCTGTTTGTTCAGGTATGTGTCTTCAGTGGGTTGTTCAGGGACATTTTAATAAAAGTCTGACCCAGTGTTCACTGTTTTAGAACCTGCACCTATTATTTCAATGCTGACATACTCCTTGAGTGTACTCTTCATCTCAGTTTACACATTTATTCAACAAAAGCTTACCAAAATAATTTCAGTATGGCCTTGGTGAGTTTTTCGCTGTAGTGATTTTAATGGGAAGTTTTATAAGCTGTCTTGACCTTTGCAAACAAATACCACCACCTTAACTATTTTGATGGAGATGAAAAAGTACAATCCACTTCATGTGAATGCAATTGTTCGAATGTAGATGTGTGTGTGGCTCATCTAAGGTACTCTCAGTGCACCAGTATACAGGATTTCTATTGATAAAATTACTACAGTAAAGTATTATTTCCTTCTTCTCAATCAGTGTAGTCATTCAGGAACAGAAAAGAGCTAAACCTTGGAGATTTTTCCAGGCAGCATGAGGCGGGGAGGAGCAGATTAAAAAAAGGGACTGCTGGACTGTGCAGATGAAGCCCTGGGTGTCGCTGTTGGCTCAGGTACCAGCTAAGGGCTTCCCAAACTCCTCCTGCAGACAAAATGCTGCTGCAGAGGCACCAGCAGCCCTGGCTTCCCTCGGCCCCCGTGGGCTGTCAGAAGAGCCACTACCTGCGTTTCAACTCTCCGCATCTCTCAAATTTCTCTGAAAATGTCCAACCTTTCTCCTTTTGTTTCCCCAACCAGTGTAAATATTTATAGGCATCCTTTAAAGTCAGAGGTTATACCAGGGAGTATTTCACCTTAAAAATCACTGACGGACAGC